AAATAACGAAACGGAGTGGTTAACGTGTTGCAGCATTCATCGTGTGGCGAGCATTTCTCGTCCCTTCGTTTACAATTTCCACAAATTACCAAGTTGTACGCGGTGTGTGTGTATGTGAGTGTGTTTGTCACTCGAGCAACTTTGACGTCTTTCGAAAACCTGGATAATTGGCTCTTAACCATCTCCTCGTCTTCTCGGCGTGCGTGCACGCCCGCTGTTTCTCTTTTTCACTGGCGCGAATTACATCCCCAACGAATGGCGAACGTTCCCCTAAAAAGCTCTGAATTGAACCTAATTACAGATCTTAATTAAAACGTCTTTCGTTCTGGTAAGGAAAAAAATTATTTTTAGCTTTCATTTTAAAAGCATGAATTACTCTCTTATCAAGGAACTTCACCTTCGACCTTTTTGGTCGTTCGTGGATTTTTCGAGCAATATGAATTTGAACACGGAAATGTGTGAATTACTATTGTTATATTTATTTTACTAATGAAGCACTGAGAGAGAGAGATTAAAAAGTTATCGCAACTCAAAATTCTGTTCTTCGTCGTACATTCAAAAACAATTGCCACAAGTCTGGCAATTTAACACTAGAATTACCGATGACCAAAGCATAAAATTTCCATCAGAGACGTTAAAATAAATGAAACAGAAAATTTTTATAGTACAACAGGATACACAAACTTTTATTTATGTATTTTACGAAGGATCATTCAAGTATACAAAAATATACCGTTTTATATCTATAAAATATTTAACAAAAATATTCAAATGGTCATTTTGACCATTTTGGTAGTTCTAGTGTTAATAAAAACTTCAACTGTCTGTTTCAAATTTTAATAACCACAGAGTAGTCGACGAGGCGTAAATTAAATCCCAAATTAGAACAAATTTCGAATTGAATTTCAATTTTGTGCTTTCCTTTTCCCAAATGTACAGTGAGGGGAGAGTCATGACTTTCCCCTGTTAATCCTATCTTTCATCCTTCCTACGATGGGAATCGAACACGACAACCGGGACAAGCCAGAGTTAACGAATTAACAATAATTAACAGCGTAATTAATATCATTTTAAAACGAAGCTAACCGACCGACAACCCATTACGGAGTCGCCGACTCCGGTGCTTTTCTTTCTCGTTGAATTATGGTAAACCGCTAGCTTGCGCTCGAGCCAGCAGGCCGCGTTCGAAATTAACTGTATCCTTGGCAGAGGAAACGCAGTCTCTGGACGCGTCTACCTCGTCCTTAGCGTATGTAATTTTCTCCTCTCCTCTTCCTTTTTCTTTTCTCTTTTTTTCCCCTGCGTTTTATTCTCGCTCGCACGAGCGTAATCGGTGTACCAAGTATACCATCGGAGTTTAGAATCGAGCTCTCGGGCAACATGACATGCGCCATTATCCTCATGGAACGCGTGGCATGCGTACTAATTCATTTATGATGGCTCCGTGGATTAATAAGAATAATTTTTTTTGTTTCAAATGATTCGGTGGAAACGACCGTTCTTTCTTAAAGAATTTGCGTCTTGTTTTTCTCAACAATTCATTTACGAACGAAACTATAAAAAAAAATATATTTCATGCAATTACTACGAATTATGATTTATATTTGTTTTTTTTTTTCTCTCATAATGAGAATAAGTTTTCTTTCAAGAAAATCCCGAACGAAATTTTTTTAATTGGATCTGACTACTCTCGTGCATAAATTGGCTGAAAGTACGAGGCTTCAGCAGTTCAGGGGATTATTCAGTAGAAGGTCGATACTTCTAGCGTTAATTAAAGACTGCAACTTCGACGGCGATTAAAAAAAAGAAAAAGAGATGAATCGGTAGCTGCGTGCGAATTATACGCTGCAGAGTGCAAATAACTCCTATTTCTAATCTCACTGCTCGACAGTGACTGAAACTCGAAAATTGAAAGTAAGTCGAGTTGAATGCACTCCACAAAGCAGTAAGAAACAGCAATCCGTAAACTCGTGTAATGTTTCTAATCGTGCAAACGCCTGGTAACCATGATTTTATATCGGTACACAATTAAGCCTCGATCGGAAAGGCATGTAACCGCGACATTGTATGTGCTCGTGATCATACATCACTCGTGTACATACGCGTACATACCACCAACCTACATACAGAGTGTATTTATTGAAAATCGATCAATTGAAAATTTTTGGAAATTTTGGACAAGATCGAATTTGGAAGATCGTCTCGTAAGTTGTTATAAAGTTTATCTATTTAACCACTTGCGCTGGCAACTGAATTGCGGACCATAACGAGTGACCGAACCGTACACAATAATTGGTATTGGATAGAAATTATTCAGAAGTAATGAATTTATTATTTGGTTTGCCTATTTTGTTTTACTTAAATATACTTAAAACTGAGGAAATATTGCAATTCTGGGACAAAAAATTCTCGACTTTGCGCGAATTTGTTTCACGTAAATTACCAAACAAGATATTAACGAGAGAACAAAATTTATTTATTCTGAGACCTCTTACTTTCCAGAAAATAAAATTTATTACGTATTCAGTTGGAAATACTCGAAAATCTTTTCGCAAATACACAATTTTTGAACAATCTTTTTTGATTTGATTTTCTGGAGAATGAGGTGTCGAAATAAACGAAATTTATTCTACGTATATATATTTCGAATTGATTTTTTTCGCGGAGAGTCACCCCCTTGCCTGTTACATCGCGATTACTTAGACACCGCGTAGACGTTGCGCACATAACGATGTATCCAGTCATCGGAGCGTATCCTTGATTCACTCCCCTATACATAAATACTTGGAACATTCCATGTGTGCAGATTTTACGGCCACGTTCTGCGTTTTCACGTTGGCGTTTGTTCAGTCGCGTGAATCATTCGATACATTCTTACGAATATAATGCCAATATACAGGGTGTTTCGTAACTTGTGGGACCCACTTCGGGAACTGATTGTACGCCTAAAAATAATGAAAAAAAGTCATATAAATATATGTCCTATCTGTCTTCATTTATGAGATATAATGAATTTTCTGTTTTAATTACTTTTACAAAAGATGCTCGAGAAATGATCACCTTGCATTTGAAGACAAGCCTGCACGCGTCTTGCCATTGATCTGTTTACTCTCTCTATCATTCCTGGTGTTTCTCGAATTTGTCGGAAGCCTTGCTCTATTCTATTTCGTAGTATTTCAGCATTTT